ATCAGGAACTGAATAATTGTTAATTTCTGGAATCTCATTTGTGTCTTCCTGTGTAAACACTGACCAAAAAAAAGTCATTAAATAGGGAACACATTTACGGTTCGTTATCTGTCAGCTGTCCATTCCCAATTTTCAGAGGTCCTACTTTTTCCATCACCTTCATCCATACACTTGAAAGGAACCCTTTGGCTTAGTTCTTGATTCATTAGCAGCTCTAATTTCATAGTCACGTTTAGTCTTTCTAATCCCCTTTTAAGCTGAACGTATTGGTCAGTAAGATTAACCTCTCCTCTGATGCGCCTATAAATTCCTCTTTTCTTCCCTAAAAGATCTTTAGCCTCCTGTTACCCCATTTGGGATTTTTTTTTTTTAACAAGTCGGCCGTCTCCCACCGAGGCAGGGTGACCCAAAAAAAAAAAAAAAAAAAATCCCCAAAAAGAAAATAATTTCATCTTCATTCAACACTTTCACCTCGCTTACACATAATCACTGTTTTTGCAGAGGTGCTCAGAACACTAACAGTTTAGAAGCATATACGTATAAAGATACACAACATATCCCTCCAACTGCTAATATCCTGAAACCCCTCATTTAGAGTGCAGGCATTGTACTTCCCATTTCCAGGACTCAAGTCCGGCTATATAAAAATAACCGGTTTCCCTGAATCCCTTCACTAAATATTACCCTGCTCACACTCCAACAGATTGTCAGGTCCCAAATACCATTCGTCTCCATTCACTCCTATCGAACACACTCATGCACGCCTGCTGGAAGTCCAAGCCCCTCGCCCACAAAACCTCCCTTACCCCTTCCTTCCAACCTTTTCGAGGGCGACCCCTACCCCATCTTCCTTCCCCTACAGATTTAAATGCTCTCCATGTCATTCTACTTTGATCCATTCTCTCTAAATGACCAAACCACCTCAACAACCCCTCTTCAGCCCTCTGACTAATACTTTTATTAACGCCACACCACCTAATTTCTACACTCTGAATTTTCTGCATAATATTTACACCACACATTGCCCTTAGACAGGACATCTCCACTGCCTCCAACTGCCTCCTAGCTGCTGCATTCACAACCCAAGCTTCACACCCATATAAGAGTGTTGGTACTACTATACTTTCATACATTCCCTTCTTTGCCTCCATAATTAACGTTTTTTGTCTCCACATATACCGCAACGCACCACTCACCTTTTTTCCCTCATCAATTCTATGATTAACCTCTTTCTTTCAACACACCAGCTGTATCCCACTGAGGCGGGGTGGCCCAAAAGGAGAAACAAAAGTTTCTCCTTTTACATTTAGTAATATATACAGGAGGAGGAGGGATTACTAGCCCCCTTGCTCCTGGCATTTTAGTCGCCTCTTACAACACGCATGGCTTACAGAGGAAGAATTCTGTTCCACTTCCCCATGGAGATAAGAGGAAATAAACAAGAACAAAAACTAGAAAGAAAATAGAAAACCCAGAGGGGTGTGTGTGTATATATGCTTGTACATGCTGCAGCAAGGAGGCAGTTGGGGGCAGTGGAGATGTCCTATTTAAGAGCAATGTGTGGTGTAAATATTATGCAGAAAATTCGGAGTGTGGAAATTTGGAGAAGGTGTGGAGTTAATAAAAGTATTAGTCAGAGGACTGAAGAGGGTTTGTTGAGGTGGTTTGGCCATTTAGAGAGAGTGGATCAAAGTAGAATGACATGGAGAGCGTATAAATCTGTAGCGGAAGGAAGGCGGGGTAGGGGTCGTCCTCGAAAAGGTTGGAGGGAGGGGGTAAAGGAGGTGTTGTGGGCGAGGGGTTTGGACTTCCAGCAAACGTGCGTGAGCGTGTTAGATAGGAGTGAATGGAGACAAATGGTATTTGGGACCTGACAATCTGTTGGAGTGTGAGCAGGGCAATATTTAGTGAAGGGATTCAGGGAAACCGGTTATTTTCTATAACCGGACTTGAGTCCTGGAAATGGGAAGTACAATGCCTGCACTCTAAAGGAGGGGTTTGGGATATTGGCAGTTTGGAGAGGTATATTGTGTATTTTTATACGTATATACTTCTAAGCTGTTGTATTCTGGGCACCTCTGCAAAAACAGTGATTATGTGTGAGTGAGGTGAAAGTGCTGAATGATGATGAAAGTATTTTCTTTTTGGGGATTTTCTTTCTCTTTGGGTCACCCTGCCTCGGTGGGAGACTGCCGACTTGTTGAAAAAAAAAAAGTATGTGTAGTGTGACCTAAGTGTAAGTAGAAATAGCAAGATGTACCTGAAATCTTGCATGTTTATGAGACAGAAAAAAGGACACCAGCAATCCTACCATCATGTAAAACAATTACAGGCTTTCGTTTTACACTCACTTGGCAGGACGGTAGTACCTCCCTGGGCGGTTGCTGTCTACCAACCTACTACCTAGGATGATTAACCTCATTCTTCATAAATCCATCCGCCGACACGTCAACTCCCAAGTATCTGAAAACATTCACTTCTTTTATACTCCTCCTCCCCAATTTGATATCCAATTTTTCTTTATCTAAATCATTTGATACCCTCATCACCTTTACACACATTCCCAAACTTATCCACTGACCTTTGCAATTTTTCTTTAGAATCTCCCATAAGCACAGTATCATCAGTATCATCACAGTATCTCTTCTACACACCCTAACCCGAGCCTCACTATCCTCATAAAAACCCTTTACAACATTTAGTAACTTACCACCTATTCTATATACTTGCAACATAATTTGTCTCTGGGGAATGTATGTATATACTCTGAGCATGTTGTACATTATTAAGAAAAAATCATAAACACAGATCCCTTCGTAATCATAAGTATGATCATTGTCAATAAAATCATTAGCTAGATAACCCCAATCGAGATTAGACAGGTGTTTCCTAAGTCCATTATAATCGGCAGAACGAAAATCAGGGACTTTTACTGTATTATCATTATTCTCATATTCCCAGTTAATGCTAAAAGTGATGGATTTGTGATCACTTGTGCTAAGCTCCTCAGCAATCTCCAGGTTATTTACGAGTGTTTCCTTAAGAACATAGGAAAGGAGGACAGCGCTATATAGCCCTTGTGGCTTAGCGCTTCTTTTTGATTATAATAATAATAATAATAATAAGAAGAAGAAGAAGAAAGGAGGAACACTGCAGCAGGCCTGTTGGCCCATACTAGGCAGGTCCTTACTTGATAAGACTAGGTCGAGCAAATTATTGCCCCTGGTAGGCTCTGTTACACACTGCTTCAGAAAACAGTCCTGAACTACTACCATAAAGTCACTGGACTCCAGATTTCTGGTCAAAGAAGTCCAGTCAGTTTGACTAAAGTTAAAATCCCCTACTATCAGTACATTATTGTGTCTAGAAGCCCTAACAATTTCCCAAAGAAGTTTCCCTCTATTGTGATCCAAGCCTGGAAGTTGGTATATTACACCTAGAATTAGTTTTTCTTGACCCTCTGCAAACTTTACTCAAACAGATTCTGTTACTAGTCCATCTATTTTTATACCTGCTTTTATGCAACAATTTATATTTTCTTGTACATATAATGCAACTCCTCCCCCTTCCCATTATATCTATCCACATGGAGCAGCTTAAACCCTGGAATATTACACTCGGCAATCATATCCTGACTCTTTAAATCATACCATGTTTCAGTTATTGCAATGACATCAAAGTTCCCATCACACACTACCAAACGCAATTCATTAATCTTATTTCTTGTGCTTCGACTGTTAGCATAAATAGTCATATGTTTTTTCTTCTGCACATTTTTCCTATTCACCTTTGCTTTTACACAATTTCTGTAATTATCATTACCCAGTGTTACTCCATGAATGTTTATTAAAGTTTCATAATATCAAAGCCTAAGTCAATAAATCCATACACATTATTTTTCATTTCTGAACCCATACCTCTAACTAATCCTAACAACACCCTCAACTGAGCTAGCAAGAAAACCCACACATGCCCTGGATAAGTGAACCCCATCCCTGGCATACGTGTCATTTCGGCCATAGAAATGATCCCGGTTGTCAATGAATGGTACTGCATTATCCTTAGTGTTTGTCCAGCCAACAATTAATACCAATTGCTCTGGACAACCATTCATTTCCAACACCCCTTCTTGGCAAAATGCCACATATAACAGGGTGCCCCCCCTTCTTCCTAATTGTCTATTGCTGTCCTGTACCTTCTAACTATATCCTCACTTCTGTGCTTGTCTACATCATTGCCTCCAGCACCGAGGCAGATAACAGGATTGATCCCAATACCGTTCATGATGTTGTCAAGCTGGCTAACAATATCCTCCATCGCAGCCCCAGGAAAGCAAACCCTGTTTCCTACTCCTGTCCTTCAAGCAGAATCCCTTATCCATATACCTAACCTGGCTATCCCCAACAACAACAGTGTTTTTACCTTCCTTGGTGTCGTTCGTCGTGATGTTTCCAGCAGTCGACTTACATTTGTCGAGTATCACGGAGAATGGGCTCAATGTTTCCACAAGTTTCCACAGCAGTCTCTTTCTTCATCGTTTCTACCTCTCCATTCGTCGTCTTGATCTTCAACTTCGTTCCATGCTGTCCAGCCACTGCCCAGGTTCCCTTCCCGACCTGAGGACTCGCAACAGGAGGACTACTTCGAATCCTCTTGTTTTCCTCCATCAATCGCCATATCTCTATCTTCGCTACCCTCAGTTTCTCCTTAAGCTGTTTGTAAAGTTTCTCAATGGAGGGCATCTTGGTTCAGTTCACAGAGAGTACACTAGACACGTTCTGAAGAACCCATCGTAAGTCGAGGAGCACCTAACCTACACCAGGTTCCTTGTAAAATGGTTCAGGGATAATTTAAAAATGCTGTAAATGTTTCTAAGAAAGTTTCAATCTTTATTATTTTATGGGATTCCTTGAAATAGGTGGAGGGTGTTTCAGAGGTCAGTCCCCCTGCTGCCTGGTCCATAACTTCAGAGATCTATCTAATTTGTTTATCCTTTTCAGTTAACGAAAGTGATTGACAGCCTAAACACCAAAATGGTAAACAAGGGAAAGGAAGTAAATGAATTCCGTGCGAAGCACAACATCAAAATCAGAGGACAAGATGAAATCAAGGAAACCCAGCAGCCTGATCCTACCACCGGCACTCAGGGGGTCCTCGTTCCTAATAAAGCCTAGTCACGTTAATAACCTGTGCAATGCACGTTCTATGCAGTTGTTGTTGATGGAGCTACAGCTTTATCGAGGACTCGGTATGGAGGCCGAACATGATTTATATTTTTAAGTAATTGTGTACTACAGGTGGTCAAAATCTCCATGTTGTACAAGAAATATGGGTGAAAATCTCCACACTATCCAAGTGAGATTAGAATCCTGTTTAATTACTGAAAAAATATAGTTGTAGAACAACCATGGTACAATATTATTAAGGAAAAAACTGACATTTTTGAGTGATAGGTGAATTTGATAGATTATAGAAACTAAATCCATGTGGGCTTGTTGGAAGTAGTGGATGACATATAATCACGAGATACACTGTGAAAGAAGGGCAATGATACCACTGACGGAAATAAAATCAGTTCACATTTACTTATATGATGGTTTGTACAGGAATTTTGTATATTACATCCTGTCGACACAAAGCTTATTCCTAATACCATTTAGCACTGAGCCAGAAAAGCAACAAACGCTAGTTTTACTACATTTTGAACCTGCTTGAAGTTGTCATTATGTTTTGATGTGCAAAATTGGTTATTTTCAGTGCTTCCTTTGGGATTTTATATATATAGTTTTCCTCTAGATTTTTTATATTTGAACTGGTCATGTGACTCCATTTGGTGAGCTACTGGATGACCTATAAGGCATTAAGGAATCAACATGGGATATTTACTGATTATATATTTTCTCGAGATGTATGAAGGTGTTATGCAATTGAGAAAATTATTTTTTCCTCCCTGTTAGAGAGCACACAATCTCTTGTTGCAAATAATGTTAGGCTGCTTTAAGAACCATTTAAGTAACATTTATTTGTATGGAATAAAGGTTGTGACTAAATTATTTTTTAACATGTAAGCCATTGGTCACTGTGATGTTGATTGATAAATTCTGTTAATTGAATCTCGCTTGTTAATATTTTGAAGGAATTATTGGATTGTTAGCACAGCATCGGAAAATGTTTTGTTGAATACTGTTATTAATGGTTATAAAGTCACCCTTCATTACTAAGGTTTGCTTTCATAACAGCACATTTCATTAATATCCAGCGATGCTAAATCTCATTAATTAGTATAGTTGGTGTTGCCACAATTCATTTTTCTGCCATAAGATAACCAAAACACTTAACATATGGGGCTGACATTGCTAGGAAGTTTAATATTTATTCCCAGTTAATCATATTCACAGATTTGAAATTTTCAAAGTACAGTATGTGCGGTTTAGATCGTTCACACGATTAGGAAAATAAATGCTTGAAACCTGGGAAGTCTTTCAATTTTCGAGCCTTATTTCATATTTAACAATGCAGAGAGATGTCTACCACTAGGGCCAGACCTGATTGCCATGTGTCCCAGTCATTATAGGGAAAGCACTAAACCCATGTGTGCAATGCCTGGGAAATGGGAGGCAATCTGATCCAATTCAAAGAAAGAAAATTTAAAATTCGTTAGTTCAAAAATCCCCTGGGGTAATGACTCCTATGGGTTGGCACCTCCCATAACGATAATACCAAATACTGAAGGTAGACTACAGTACTTTTTTTTTTTTTTTTTTTTTTTTTTTTTTTTTTCTTTTTAAGCACCAGCCATCTCTGAGGTAGGGTGCCCCCCCCAAAAGAAGAAACACTTTCACCATCATTCACTCTTGCCAAAGGTGTGCAGATACTACAGTTCAGATGCCCTTGTAAATATCCCCTCCCCTCCATGTGAATATATTAACATTTTGTACCTAAGTACTTTGTAAACAAAACTAAAAGTCTGGTAAGTCAGAAATGTAACATTTCAGACAAGGCTTTACACTATCAACCTGTAGTCCCTGGTCATGTTGACGTACAGGGCAATGAACAGGCAGACACTCCTGTGCGGTCAGCAGTACATGACCTACCAATTTCATATAGAGGTGTTCCATTTCTGGACTATTTTGCTGTAATAGCTACCCACCTTCACACCCGTTGGCAACAACGTTGGTCAACTCTGTTCGGTAACAAACTTCATTCTATTAAACCAAGCATAGGTTACTGGCTACTGGCTGTCTTCTTGTCATCAGTGCCGAGGTTGGGAGACTACTCTCTCCCGCCTTTGCATTGGCCACACTCGTCTTACTCATGGGTATCTTACGGAGAGGCACCCTGTTCCTCTGTGAGCAGTGTCAAGTTCCCGTATTGATTAGCCACATTCTGTTAGACTGCCCTCCCTATCAACGAGCATGCAGAATTTACCTCCGTCGTCGTCTCCACACTACTACTCTCTCTACCTTCCCTTCTTGCTGATGGACCCTCCTTTAATCCTGACTCTCTCATTGACTTCTTCACAATGACTGATTTACTCCACAAACTGATGATACCTTTCGCACTCCTCTGCCCTTTCACCATCCACTGCCCTGCTGTTCTCCGTAACCTATTGCTTGTCCATCTCCCTTTTGCCACCTGATACCCTCGCTTCCTTCCTGCCCTGCAGCGCTGTATAGCCCTTGTGGTTTAGCACTTCTTTTTTATTATAATATCAACCTGTAAGTAATTGTTATTATAGGAATAATTGCACAGCAAGCAAAAACTTTCTCCACTATTCCTCTGGCACTCTTCCTAGGGGTCTGGGGTTAATGTTCCAATGACTGCTCTGGATTAAGCATTTCCCAACAATTGGAAAGTTCAACTTGACAATTTTTGTGGCTAGCTGACTTTTTTTTTTTTTACATTGGTGACACTGACAGATGTCTTTATTAGTGAAAAACTCTTGATCCAGGGAATTACATATCCTACCTTTCTTTGGATCAAACTTGATTACCTTCCAATCCCCAGGCACTGAGACCCACCAGAAAAATTAATATTTCATACATAACCCACACACGTGACAAATTTAACGGTGTTTTGGTCTAACGTAGACCATTAACTAGTCACTAGAAGGTGGTCCAAGTTGGATTGAAATGTTAGTGTCAAGTCTGTGTGGGGGGTTGTGTATTGGTCCAGTCATGGCATTGTGCCTTTTTAATTTGTTAAAGGAAACATTCATTACTCATTCAGTAGCTGTCTTAGAGGTATACTGACATCAGATCAATAACTCCTTGTTAACGTCCCAACCTCTTCCTCAGAGCAGGCACTGTACTTCTAAACTAGAACTCGGAATCCCTTCATAAATGTAACATCAACATTCATTAAAAACCAGTCTCCAGTGACAAATGCCAGCTTGCTGGATGCTAGTGCCTTGGAAATTAAGCCTCCTGTACTTCCCCTCCTTTCTTTTTCAATCTTTTCAGGGATGACCCTTGCCCATCTTACTTTCCATCCTAAAATTTAAATGTCCTCATCAGCCTATCCCTCTCCATGTACCCAAACCACCTTAACTCCTTAACCCTCCGTTTCACCCTTTGTGGCCCAACATAGCTTCAATTTCTGCCGTAAATTCTCAACAGAATCACACCTCTGCCTCCAGCCTTCTCACTGCAATGTTTGAAATACCTTGCATCCCATGTGAGTGTTGGCACCACTTGTACATTTTTTCTCCATAAACTTTCCACATAACCTGTCTTCCCCCATCACCTGCAGTTTCAAGATTCCCACCATCCATAAGTCCCCATTTGCTGAATAGTCCAGGATAGGCTGGTATAGCCTAGGATAATGTTGGATAGGCTAGGATAGTGGGGGATAGGCAGTACTATGACATTCATACCCCTCAAGGGAAATTCCTTGAAGCTGGTGAGGGGCTCTTGTTCTAGGGAATTGTATCTGTGCTCCAGTTCCCAGAATTAAGCCTGAATACCTTCCATCCCCTACCCCCACAGGAACTGTATAATCCCTATGTGGTTTAGTGCTCCATGATTATAATAATGACATTTTTGGGCTTAGCACTTAGTTATGATTATAATATAATTGAACTGCCTCTCTAAGCTAGACAAACACAGCAATTATTTATCTTCTTAGACAACTGGAAAATAGGCTGAAGGTATTCTACAGAATGGACTGCAGGACTTTCAGGATATGAATAAAGCACTAAACCTGTAAAGGGGGCAAAAAATTCTACAGATAGGGAATGGAGCAATCAGGTGAAGAGGGGCAGCAGGTTCAAGATACATGCCCCAGTGGAAACAGTTTTCAGTTTAATATGTTTATGCACCCCACACCCATCCTGTGGGCAGTAGTCAAAAGATTAGAGATACATAATGGGTCCAGGGACTGGACCACAAAGTTTTGATAGCTGAGCTAGTTACAAAGGTAATGAACTCCAGGTAGTGGAAACATGGAACCCAATGGAAACAAGTCACTTTTTTGGGGTTATCCTGGGTAATTTTTACCCAGCATACATGAGAGGGATTACCAATAGATCCCTGGCTGTCTTCATGAAGGATAATAAATTTGTCGAGTTAGGCATAAGAATTAACAACTGGGCGTCTACACTGCAAACTGAATTGTTTGCAATCCTAATGGCGCTAAAGCTAACCTATGACAGCTTGACTATCATTACTGATTCTATGTCATCATTGAAGGCTCTTGACTCATATGACTCCAACATGCTCATTGGAGAAGCCAGGTATAGATACTCAAAAATCAGGGACAAAGGAATAATGTACAAGTGCTATGGATCCCATCACACATTGGATTACTCCTTCATGATAAAGTTGATATGTTAGCCAAGAAGAGTACCCAGAAGGAGAATGTAGAATATAACTGGTATAACTGTCTAGCATTAGCAATAATATTAGAAGTAAATAATGAAAATTGTTATAGGAATGCAGTTAGAAGCCCGAGTAGATCTATAACCCACTATAACATGAACGTAGATAAGTATGTTTATGGAGCAACTTGCAATGTGAACAGACTGACTGGTGTTGTAGTGGCCAGGCTTAGACTTGGTTACAAGTACTTCTGGCAGTTTGGGAGAGAGACAGATGATGATCAAACTAAATAAAAATTATGTAATCAGGCATATGGTCACTGTCTTGAACACTGTGCTTAAATGTCCACTTATTGAGGAACAGAGACAGACAGTATAACCTATGTGACATGTCAAGACATTAATGAAAATAAGATACTAGATATACTTAGCAAATTTCCTAAATTTGCATGTAACAGGTAAGTGAACTGTAGATAAATAAAAACCCATATGTACACCTGTTAACCCTTTTGGGGCCTAGTTCCTAGGACTTTTGTGTATCCGTATGCTCTTGACTACCGTCCACAGGATGGATATGGGATGCACAATAAACTAACCACTTCGGTGGCAAAATTTAAATCTTCAAGAAGGTGCTGGACGGGCACCTAAGTCAGTACCTGACCAGCTGTGGTTCGTACGTTGGTTTGTGTGAGGCCAGCAGTAACAGCCTGGTTGATCAGGTCCTGATCCACTACGAGGCCTGGTCACAGACCAAGCCATGGGGGCGTTGACCCCTGAAACCAATAAACCATCCAACCTACTTACCTACCTACCTACCTGCTTTCCTACCAACTGTCGAGGGTACTTTTCCCCCTCCCAGCCCACGTCAGCGATGGCACTGCAGGGACAGTGCTGTGGAGTTCGACCGTGAGGCAGCTGTCAGGTGTGCCACAGGCAGTGTGCACTCAGCTCCTCAACCTCTTCAAGGGGGGCTCCTTGGCGTGGTGAAGAGGCTCTTGGTCTGAGGAATTAGACCTGTCGGTCTTCTTCCTCAGACCGAACCTAATTACCCCCCAATCTCCCCTCCCCTATCCCATCCTCCCCATCCTCCCCTTTTTCCTTTCCTCCTCCTCCTCCTCCCCACCCCTCCCTTTTGCCCTTCCTCTTTTCGGCCTTTGGGATTTCTCCCACAGGCGCGCTAGTTCCTAGGTAGGGGAAAGGATACCGAGGTCCATCCCATTCCGTTGAGGTTCTTGGCGGTGGCGTAGTTTGCCGTGGAATCTGGATCGCCTGGGGATGTCCCGATCCCTCTCCTGTATCCCGGAGTAACTTTGGGTGTCTTTCGGGCGACGGGTGTATCTCTGGAAGCCACCTTTCGGATTCCGGGGGTGGTGGCCGAAGGAGGTATGCTTTGTGGCGGATATCCGGCCGCCCTCTCTTTTGTCCACCGAGGTAGCTCGGCAGATGTGAGGTTGCTATCCCAGATTGTTAGTTTACTAGCATGATGGGTAGGGTATGGCACGGGTTGCATCTGCGCTACTTGCGGTGCTGAGGTCCTCTTGGGCGCGGAGGGAGATTTCTGGCCCTTTCATTCCTCCTAGGAACTATCTCTCCCTGGTCCCCCTTTTTTTTATTCTTTTTTTTATTTTTATTTTTTCTTCTTTCTTTTTTTTTCTT